GAGAAAAACACTTTGATTTCTGTATAAAATTAACTGTAAACATGGGTTTTAACTGTAAACATGGGTTTTAAATTTTCTGAACCAACTATTTCATTTTTCTCACAGCATGGATATGGTTATGTGGCAGTGCTCCCTCCATGTTGTGGAATCTTGTGAGCAAAAATTCTACTTTGTGAGCTACTGGCATTAAATTTGTGAGTGAGCGATTTGGCTACTGCATAAATTAGTTTGCTCTGGAGCCATCCTTCCTGAGCTAAGACAAAGATGTGTGCGCTGGAGGCTAAAAAACTGTGAGCTAGCTCCCACTAACTCAGCTTAGAGGGAACACTGGATATGGGTTCAAGCTGAAGATCTTGATGAAGTATATCTCAACACATATATATTTCATATACCTAAAGTGATAATGTAGCACTATAGAGCAACTCAGGAGGGAAGCAGGCATGATATAACCCAATCTCATCAGATTGCAGAAGCTAAGAAGGGCTGGTACTTCTATGGAAGACCTGCAATGAAGACTTTGCAGAAAAAGCAATGGTAAACCAACTCCGCTTCAGACTTTCATTGAAAGCCTCTTGCTTGGGTCACCATAAGTCACTTGTGACTTGATGGCACTTAGATACATATAGAGCAACTCCCTTTCCATGCACCCTTAAGTGAAGACACAAGTTATGTAGATGGATTAAACTAATTTTATTCAGCAAAAATGTATTAAACATCAAATTAACCTCTACTTCATCCCAATCAGTGTGGTAAATCCTGCAGGTAGCCCATTAACTACCTACATGTATGCAACTCCATCCTGGTTCAAAATCTGATGAAGCTGTTTTCATTCCTCACCTTTCACTACCTTCGCATGTATACAACTCCATCCTGGTTCAAAATTTGATGCAGCTGTTGTTTTCATTCCTCACCTTTCACTACCTTCATAAATCCTCTGCCAATCAGTGCTCAGCCTCACCCACTTCCTTCTGTGCTGTTCAGTAGCTAGGGTTCAGTTTATTCTGCCCAGCCTCAAGGCAACTCCCTCCCCATATCCCTCTGGCAATAATGGCTGATAAGCAACTGGCTTGGTTGAACTCATTTTATCATTAAATGCCTCAGGGTGCAGTTTTCCTATCCACATTAAAGAATCTGGACAATTCCTGCCAACCTAATTAGGGCTCCACCACTTTTACAACTAGACCTATTTAACTAGATGGCCATCTGACAGCAATGCTGATTCTGTGAACTTAGGCAGATCATGAGAGAGAGGGCAGGAAGGGATGCATCAGTACTTAGTTCTTGTGCCCCTTTCTTACACGCCCAGGGAAGTGCTGATCACCACTTTGGGGTCAGGAAGCAATTTTTCTCCAGGCCAGTTTGGCTGGAAATCTTTTTTTTGGGGGGGTTGTCATCTTTTGGGCATGGAACAGCAGTCACTGGGGGTGTGGAGGGGGAGGTATTTGTGAATTTCCTGCATTGTGCAAGGGGTTGGACTAGATGACCCTAGAAGTCCCTTTCCACTCTATGATTCTATGAACTAAACCACCCCAGGTGTGAAGCCATATAAAGCAGTAAAAAGAAGTCCTGTCCCAGCCAGTTTAATGGAACCCAACCTAATTGCTCTTCAGGCCCGGTAAACCACTAGCCAATCCCCATACTGCCTGTCCCTGGAAGAGGAGGATGGAGAAACATTGAACAAAAACCAGATTGCAAGAGGTGGAGATTCTTTAAATAATGGCTCCTGTACACTGGCTCTGGCATATAAGTTATCCAAGGAGACAAGAATTCCCTTACAACATGCCTGCCCTCCATTCTTCCGTGGGAGGCTTGGCCAAAAGAAACCTCCACTCACATTCTGGACAGGAAGTGAAATTTTCACTGGAGTATTTGTGTAAGGGTTTTGTGCCCATTAAACAATGAGGTATGATATCATGTTTATGCAACCCCACTATATTAATTGCATACTCAGCTTCCATCCCTGACCCTGTACCAGTTATTTTTCTCTAACCAGCCTACCAAAACACTTTCATTCTAATGAGCAAATGGATGTTTTCCCCCAAGAGTTACCTGCTTCTTTGACCACAATTCCATGCAGCTGGATTTTTTTAGACGTTACACTATGGCTTATGGTTGAGGATGCTGAGAACCCAAATCTGACCTCAGTTTTTTGTCAAACCAGTTTATGCTACTTCTTGGAAAAATAAAATTATTTTAGAAAGGATTCTCAAAGCATGCATAATGTGTTAGAAGATGAAATATAGATCCCTTTTGAAGGAGCATTTAACAGAGCTTCCTGCTTGAGAGCTCGGTGGGAAAACCAGTGTAAGAGTAAATATGCCAGTCATCAGTGTTGTGTAGGCTACTAAATAGTTAGCTATCTATGTTCTCCCAGGATTATTTCAGTCTTTGCCAAGAAACATTGATTATAGAAGTACTATCAAAGGACTCTACCCCAATTTTCAAAGTGTCATGCTCTGCTGGAAAGATATGTGAAGACTATCTCTTAGTTTAAATGATGATCATATAGCCACATTGTTTAAACATTTTAAACTGCTTCTATTGAATGGTTTCCCTCATAGGTTTGATTCATTTTGATTCTGCTGACAAAGTTCCCATTACAGAGTGTTCTTTTCATAATTTGTCAAAAATATATAGAGGAGATGAAGGGGGATAAAGCTAATTTGTAATCTGAGAGCACTAACCTGGTTATGCTGACAAGCTTCATGATAAATGCCCTTGGCTGGCCAGGGGTTTTAAGTTATGAAGCACAAAAAAGTTTTATTATGTAGTTAAACACAAATTCATTTTGTAAATAACACAAGGGTCAGGGCTAATTTTTTTCTCTTATCAAAATACAGCATTTCCCTTACAATGAAATAAAAATATCACCTAACATGTGAGATGTCTGCTTTATACAAAACATGGGAAGAAATACTCTGGGAAACAAAACAGAAAAAAGGGAGGCTGATTATCTAAGCTACTGTAAATAAGCAATATTGAATCCTACCACAAAAGAATAGAGTTCGTAGGTTAGCACCTGGAAAGGACTTTGTAAGCCATTACGAAGTTATAGAACTTTACAGTAATTTTACAACTTTACTTGTAAGAAACTTGTGGAGGAGAGAGAATCCCAGTGGCGGCACCTCTCTCATCTTCTCGGCCACTGCCTCACTCACTCATGGAGCTGCTTGCCAACTTTGCTTGCCTGCTAGGGAGTGGCGGCGGCAGTGCATTTCTTGGCTGTCCCACCAGTGCCCCCATTACTGGCTCAGCCTGCTCCCATGTCTCAAGGAGCTGGCCTCAGTGGTGGTGGTGGTGTGTTTCTCAGCTTCCCCTACTGGGGGCACTGGGCACTTTAACTATCCACCTCATGTCATTCTCTTGATTGAAAAGTTGTCTCTCAAGTTGTCTTAAAACCCTGTAGAGAAAGATGGGCACAGTATGGATACTTGCCTTTTCTACCCCCATGAGGCCTAAAAGTATTAGGGAGAGGGGTTTTGGCTAGGGAAATGGTACCTGGGGGGGGGCAGAGTTAACCTCCTTTCCCTCACTCTCAGAGCCCCAGTACAAACCAAATATTTATGACTGCTGTTGGAAGCTAAAATACATTGATGCTTAGTCAAATTTAGTAATCGCAAACTGAAAATAGTCAGATTTGGTCCCCTGTTCTGCATATTTTACAATGCTTTTTGAAACAGTTTTTAAAAACAATTTATTTATTTATTTATTTTTCAGATTTATTTATTTTTTACCCTGCCCTCCCGGCTGCAGCTGGCTCAGGGTGGCTTACATAAAAGCAGATAGTTACATTAAAAACATAAGTTGCAATTAAAACAAATTATAAAATCATAGTAAAGTGCTAGTAGTTGTTGGTATTTGCATGATGGTAGCAGCCAGTAGCCAGTATACAAAGCTCTCAGCTTGGAGTCAGCTCTCAGTGTTCATTTTGAATGTCTTTGCAGGGCTTGCTGTTCTCTAGGCTGTTGATGGCAATTTCCAGAGTCCAGGGCCCTCTCACTTTCAACCAACCAATGTTCTTCATTGGTGGTGGCAGCTCCCAAAAGCCTGGTGGAAGAGCTCTGTTTTACAGGCCCTGCAGAACTGTAAAAGGTCCCACAGGGCCCTGATCTCCCCCAGGAGCTCATTCCACCAGGATGGGGCCACCACCAAAAAGGCCCTGACTCTGGTCGTTCACAGCCTAGCCTCCTTAAGACCCAGGAGGGCCAGCCGATTCTGGGCCCCTGACCACAGTGCTTTCTGGGGAACATGTGGGGAAAGGCGGTCCCTTAGGTATGTAGGTCCCTGACCATGTAGGGCTTTAAAGGTGAGAACCATGGCCCATCAGCAAGTGTTAGGACTGGAGTTTTCCAGGTGTCTTTTTACTCAATTTCAGGAGTGGATCAGGATGGAGTGCTGACAACTGCGGAACCTTTCACAGATTGTACACTTTAGATCTGTCAGGCATCGGCTTTGAAGTCAGATTTAAAGACATGTCTGACCACAGCCTTTGTCTAAACTCCCAGCAGAGTCACTCAAGGTGAATGGTCAAAGCTGAGACACCAGACTAAAATGCATCAACCCCCTGTAGGAATCCTTCCCCTACGCACCAAAATTACAAAGAGGCTTCTGATTGTGGCTTGCAAGCTTGGTTTTGAATATTATCTGATTTGGAAGCATCTAAATTAATTGAGAGGGTGATTGGTGGGGGGAACACCCAAGCATAGGGCTAGTTCCTTAAGCAACAACCGTGGTTGGTTGGTTTTGTATGCAAAACAATTCTTCAAGTCAATCCAAGTAAGAATCAGCGGTTTTAGCCTGAAGTGCAAGAATGTTTAAAACGTTTAAAGTTATAGTTCAGTAACTCTTGGCCTATCCAGCTAAAGCAAGTCATGACTCAATTCAGTTGGAAGCAATCTTGGGGAGGCTGTGTAACATCTTGCAGTTGTGTATGGCGTGCCTATTTAACTTACCAGTCCATGCTGCTCCTTCAGTCTGGCGTTCTTTTTTGTCCTCACCAGATCAAATTCTTGGTCCCTGTTTGCAAAATGTGTGTGAACATGATGGCTCCACGGTCCCACAGTTTGTGATACTGTGCATAAAAGCTGCTGAAATGCAAGGTGAGTAACCTAAGAGTCAACATTTTTCCTCATCTTTCTTCCCTCAGATTTTCAGCTATATTTACAACTGAGGCTGTTAAATTAGCCATTCGAGTTTATTCCCCAGGGAGCTAAAAATATACTTTTGTATAAAACCCCATTTTTACTTCCTGCCCATTTCTTTCCTCTCTCCATTTTTCTCACATTCAAGTTATGATATTAGTTTGTTTGGTTTGGTTTGGTTTGGTAGATCGTCATCATTGTCTAACCCCACCCCCACCATTGTAACTTGCAAGTAGCCATATTAAGTCTCTTGCCATTTCTAACTGTTAAATGCATGTTGTTTTTTCTTGTTTACTGGTCCAATTCACACCAATAAAATATAGTAAAGTATACACCAAGTAAAATATAGCAAGTAGATAAATGGGTACCTGCCCTTAGGTGGCAGGGGGCACCCTCCTCCATGTGAGGTGTGTGGCAGCATCAATCGGTGGCAGCGGTGACAGCGGAGTGGTTGGAACAACGAAAAAGTGACGGAGCAGCGGCGAGGCGATCCCTGGTGGCCAGTGAGCAGAACATCGAGTGGTGAGCTCTAACAACAATGGAAGCAGAGGTGGAGCCACGGAGGAACGCGGCGATGTAAAGGCGCAGGCACGGCGGAGCCAAAATGGACAATGGCCGGACTGTGGCTGACACGGGCCGCACGCCGAAGAGACCGCCAAAAGCTGGAGGACCTGCCCTGCCCCTGGACACTGGAGACGGGACGCCGGCCCTGAAAGAACACCTGGAGGAAGAATGCCAGAGCCGGAGAACAACAGCCCTGCCACCTGGGTGCCGGTAAGCAGCCCCACCCCTGTATACTATGTGGCCTGAGTTAGGGGAAAATGTATTTGAAATTACCTGTAAACCGCTCAGAGACCCTTCGGGGTCAGAGCGGTAAATAAATCGAATGTATAAATAAATAAATAAAATATTATTTAACTGGTATATTGAGACTATTCTAAAATGTAAACATTTAGTTTTCTTCCTTCTTTCCTTCCTACCTTCCTTCCTTTCTTCTGCAGACATACCTTCTTCAGTCCTTTCTTCCAGGTAATTTTCAGTAGAAGATGAAATTAGTTGCCAATATATATATTGTAGAGAATTGTAAAGCTTTATCCCCCATCTGATGCCCATTTACAACCTCTTCAGGGGATCTAGGGAATCATACGCGAGATACAGATGTTTTTAGAATAAGTACAGGCAGTCCCATTGCCTAGCGTCTTGTGAGTGAGAGTCTAAAATCAATAGAAGCACACTAACAAAATAACCATGAAGTTAATCATAAAGCAAAACACTGCTTTTATCTAATCATTATCTGGCATTACTGTGAAAGATGCAATAACATTGGTATAGAACTATCTAATCTGGGAATTCATGTTTTACTTGTATAGCAGAGAGAGAACTGGGAAAATTATAATTCCCAGAACATTAGATAGGTATGAAATAAGACAATATCAAAACAGAAATAAGCAGCATAATGTTTGAAAGAAAGGAGTATGTTTATTAAACAAGCGTCCCTTTATGGTGTGAATAATTTTAGATGTGAATAAAAGGAGAAAATGGAAGGAAAATATGGCGGTCAGTTGCTCAGAAAATTGGTTTTATTTTCACAACTTAGCTTTATGGCGTATGATTGGTATTGTGGCAAACATTTAAAAATTGCTATCTCTGAATGTTTAGCTCTTATTTTATTGTATGTGTCTTTGTTTAATCTGAGGCTAGCTTTTCACATTCACTGTTCCAAACACTGATATGCATATATCAGTGACATACTGATGCAATAAAATATACTGATACAGTAGAACAATAACATCACTTAAACAAATATTAGGCAAAAGATGAAACCCATCTATTGTCATCAAACCATAATCAATAGGCAACAAGTTTTATAATCACCAGAAGCCTGTCTGAACCATTGAGTCTTTAAAGGTCCTGGATCCTAAGAATCAGCAGGTATTTGGTTCTGGTGTCTGGGAGCCACTAAAGACACTAGTCTGCTTGATAAAAGATGGATTCGCCAATCAATTTTCATTAACTCATGATTTAGATTCTGTTCTCAGATCTTGGATTGTAATAAACTTGACTTATCAGTAACTGATCTTAGTATGTGGGGGGATAAGACTCAAAGCTCAAGCAAAGGCCACTGAAGACCTTAACTCAGCCCTGTAGTGAGATTATTTTCATTGGGGGACACCAGCGGGGGAAGATGACATCACTTCTGACATCACAAAAAATAAAATAAAAAATAGAAGAGCCAGTTCACACTGGGAGGCGGGGCGCTTGGTGGGTGCAGGATGGTGGCAGCATAGGAGGCAGATGGTGAAGATAGGTAGAAAATAGGGTGAACCTCCATGGGGGCCAATCTCTGGCCCAGTTTCCCCCCGCCTCAGTGGCATCCATCTTTGTGGCAGGAGAGGGAGTGGAGGAGTCTCTCCTCCTTTCTCCCACCTCTCTCTCCCCACCTCTGGAGACCGCTTCCCACCCTCTTCTCGGAGCAGCAACAGATGGTTTCTTGGGCTGTGCTCGGCAGTGTTCTCCTCAGCAGTCCACCCTCAGATGGGTTAATCCCATCAGCTGGAAAGCCTTGCCATGGGACAGCCGCAGCAAGAGGGAGCTGGTTCCTCCTTCTTGCCGCTCTCCAGCACTGTCTTGGCCAGCCTGTTCTGCATCTTGCTCCTCACCATGCCCGTCTGCTTGCCACCATTTTTGCCGCTTTTGCCTTTGCCAGCTCACATGCCAATGATGCTTAGCATGGTGCTGCCGGATTTCCTCCACTTAAACAATTTGAAGGAAGTCCGATTGAGCTTGCTGGAGGGCTGAGGTGGCTTGCCGACTGTGATGGGCTCCCCACAATCACAGTACATGTCCATGGTGACAGCGGCACTGGCAGAGGAGGAGGAGGTTGCCTTCACCTCTTGCAGCCCCCCTCCCCCCGGTGGCTGCCTGTCCTTGAGTTCCCTCACTTGCTCGCTTACTGACAGCCTTGCTGCTGCCGCTGCTGCTGCTCCTGTTCTTCTCCATGGCCACTGAGGCAGGGCTAAGCAGCTTTCCTTGGGCCTGGGCCTGCACCGGGCCTCTCTGCCATGTGGGGGGTGATTTGGTGGGGGGCATTGAAAATTTGGGAGGGGGTGTTGCCCCATATGTCCTGCACTAGCTATGGTCCTGCCTTAATGGTAAGTAAGTGTTTAACCCAGAAGTATATAGGTAACCAGTTGTTCTCATTCAGGACCACTGTTACATAGTCACTACCAACAGAAATTAATCTGGCTTTCTCATGTTCAACCAGCTATAGCCTGCAAAGGCAGCCCCACAGATCATGTATTACAGTAGGGTAGGGGTAAGCTGCTTGCCACCATTTTTGCCGCTTTTGCCTTTGCCAGCTCACATGCCAATGATGCTTAGCATGGTGCTGCCGGATTTCCTCCACTTAAACAATTTGAAGGAAGTCCGATTGAGCTTGCTGGAGGGCTGAGGTGGCTTGCCGACTGTGATGGGCTCCCCACAATCACAGTACATGTCCATGGTGGCAGCGGCACTGGCAGAGGAGGAGGAGGTTGCCTTCACCTCTTGCAGCCACCCTGGTGGCTGCCTGTGCTTGAGTTCCCTCACTTGCTCACTTACTGACAGCCTTGCCGCTGCCGCTGCCGCTGCTCCTGTTCTTCTCCATGGCCACTGAGGCAGGGCTAAGCAGCTTTCCTTGGGCCTGGGCCTGCACCAGGCCTCTCTGCCATGTGGGGGGTGATTTGGTGGGGGGCACTGAAATTTTGGGAGGGGGTGTTGCCCCATATGTCCTGCACTAGCTATGGTCCTGCCTTAATGGTAAGTAAGTGTTTAACCCAGAAGTATATAGGTAACCAGTTGTTCTCATTCAGGACCACTGTTACATAGTCACTACCAACAGAAATTAATCTGGCTGTCTCATGTTCAACCAGCTATAGCCTGCAAAGGCAGCCCCACAGATCATGTATTACAGTAGGGTAGGGATAAGCAAACCCCAGCATGAATGGTGACAGCAGCACACCAGATTTTTTTGCCCGGTATTCAGGGCCAGATGTCTGCTCGAGCAAACAAGTCACTGGCAGTACAGCTGGAGCCAGTGGTACAGAAGAAGGCAACAGACATTGCTTGTGCACAGCATCACCCCCCCAGACCTTGGTGAATCTACGATAGCTGATAAAATACATCACTGCAGGTGGGACTTTTTAAAGTTCAACAAGTCTAAACAAATAGGACTGAATGAACTTTAGTGCAAGTACACCAGTGATGTGATTACTATAAGTGCTGCAGCCCTGCCTTGCATATATTGTGAATACAGTGTGATGTTAGAGTATGTCCAGGCCAATTAGTTTGTGTATCATGAAGCTATTATAGCAGTGTATTGAAAAGTACATACCAATCTATGTGAGA